TCCATTTCTAACTTCCTTCTATTTGTACGCAGTAGTAAAGCCGCACAGTCCATATTTGGGCATTATAACAACGGAGGGAATATCCCAGACTATCCAGAAATTATTGTTACTTTGTTTGTTGGAACTTACAGTTCCCTTATTTATCCCTCGATCAGCATTGAGTGTATTGGACTGGAAAAAATAGAATAAACAGAAGTCAGTTCTTATTATTACGTTTATTAGCGGACTCGGACTCCAAAGCGGTAGGGAAATTTCGTGGCTAGAAGTATGACAGTAATAGTATTGTTTTAATACCTCCAAATCTAATTTTGTTTAAGTGAGTTGAGTGTGTACGTGGATAGGGCAGGGTGCGTGATATAAGTGAATGCAATGCAACTAAACGAAATATAAAGGCCCGCCTTGCCGAACAACTCATATTTAATTTGTATTGGGGGATTCGTATTATGGTGGGGGTGGGGGGGGGGGGTTCATGTTAATGTTTAATTTCTACAAATCACGGGTTAGCTGAACCTATAAAGGCCTTTCGATCAGCTCATGATGTTCTCTTTTTTTTCTTTCTTCTTTTTTTTTTCTATTGTGGGATTCGCGTATTTCGGGGGGGGGGGGCGGGCAGGATTGGGGTTTCTTTCTTTCGAATTTCTTTAAACAACGGGTCACCTGAACCTATCGTTGCTCCTTGAGCAAGTCAGAAATATGTATATAGTAGGGGGGGGGGGGGTCTCATTCCTTTATAATTTCCACAAATACACACGTAGCTTATGGTCTGCATGTTCATGACGAAACGATTGATGGAGCTGTTTCTTTTCTTCACAATATCTCATTCATTCACATATATGCAGGCCTGGTGTTACGTTCATGTTTTTCACTATATGGTTTCACCCCCTCATAATATGGTTTCTTTTCTCCGTTTCTTCCTTTCTCTCTCTCTCTCTCTCTGTCAAATATTTACTCGCCTTTGACCTCCAATCTCTAAAGTAATATTTGCCTTCACTTTTCATATCTCACACTCTCCCTCTCTATCTCGCCTCCTATGTTATTACTTTTTAATCTTTCTCTCTCTGACGAATACTTTCTCATCTTTGATCGCACATCTCGCATGTGATATTTGTGTTCACTTTTCATATCTCCCACCCTCTCTCTCCCGCAGGGGCGGATCCAGCCGGCGGCAAGGGAGGGGGCCAAATATTGGGCCTAATTCGTAGGAAAATATTTAGTGGTGAATGAGCCAGCCGGAGAATATAAAGCGGGGGAGGGGGGGGGGGGGCGGGTAATGAGCTCCTTTAAAAAAAATACTCAACACCCCACCCCCCCCCCTCGAGCCAGGGGGAGGGGGCCCTTTTTTTTTTAAAGGTTATATTTACCCGTTTTTAGGCCAGGTGAGGGCCCCCCCCCCCCTCCCGCCTCCTCTCTGATATTAAATTGTAATATATATATATCTATCTCTCTCTTCCTGTCACATACTTCTTCGCCTTTACCCTCCTATGTCGATGTAATATTTGTCTTCACATCCCCCCCCCCTCTCTCTCTCTCTCTCTCTCTCCCTCTCTCCTGCCCCTCTCTGTTATTAAGTTTAAATTTTCCCCTCTCAATCTGCTTTTCTATTTCAGTTTTATTATGAGTGGGCCTACAGTGAACTACATTATGGAAAACAAAAATCAAAAGAGAACAGGCAAGATACAAAGAAGGTTTCAATAATAATAATATAATGCATTTATTTGCACCATCTATCCAGTAAAACTATCCCGAGGCGCATTTTAAAATTGAGAAAGTGAGCAAGAAGTAAAAAATCAACAAGACTATAGGAAAGTACAGCTACAGGCAGATTTCCATAAATACCTTGATTTAAAAGGAGTAGTTGGCTGTAATATGAGTCTCTTTAAACCCTGGTTTAGTGTAAATTATGCAGAAAAGAGCAAGTTCCATTTATTCTGTAATTAAGTGTCCCTTACGCCATGTATAGTAGAGTTCTAAACATAAACCGACATCAAATGTACTGAGTCATTCATACCCTCACCAAGTTTTGTAATGTTTTACATATGCGAAAAATTGTCTTGTCCCTATTTATGTTTCTTTAGAATGTGACTTTAAAGGTAAAGACCAGTATTGGAAACGCCCCAATTTCAGAAAATGAAATGGAAGCTCTCATTACCAATCATGTGAAAGAAACCGTTTTGACTAATACATGATGATAACAAATTTGCCGGGAAACCGCCTACTAATTCACATATTTGGTAAATTTGTTTCTCTCATGGTCTGTGAGAGATATAGGGTAGTCCCATATACATCTTTCTGTGTATAGTGCTTGTAACTTTACGAAGAATGGGCCAAATTTCTGATCATTTTGATGATTCCAGAACCTTGCAGATGCTAGATGCTAGATGATCAACCTTTTCTGATCGATTCCACAACGTTTCTTTCACAATGCAATCGCATGACCATAACTGGTCTTTACCTTTAAGCTTACATATAAATTCAACAAAGGCCCTAATTCAATCCATTCACTTTTCATTGAGTTACAAAAAAACAAAAACATCAAATTTACAAGGGAATGAATAATTTAGTTGTTAACTGTAGGTTTTCACTGAAATGTTCTGGGGGGTGTTTCACAAAGATCCTAACTTGAACTTATCTCCAAGTTGGACTTAAAAAATATGGAAAGCCATTAGCATCTTTGAAAATATTTTGTAAAAGTTATTTTGAAAGGCATTCATTGTTTATTGAAATCATTCATATTTTCTATCATCAAGGAGATTTCATGTTCTGGATGTGGAATTAATAAAAAGTTTAAAATACTTGAATTTCTGCTTTTGAATATATTTCATTTTAAGGCTCCAATGGCTGTCCATAATTTTTAAGTCCAACTTAGAGTTAAGTTCTACTTAGGATCTTTGTGAAACACCCCCCAGATCAGACCAAATTAGTAGTACTGTAGCAGTGTCTTTATTTTATTTGGCAAAGACAAATTCAAGAAAAAGATGAACTAAATAACTATAAAGAATAAACAGGTCTTACTTTGGAGTCAATTAGACTTAACATGAATGAATGACACTAAACAGCAAGATAAAACAAAAATTTCAATGAATTGCAAGTGCAAGAGGAAAAAAATAAATAATGAATGTAGCATTACATTTTTTAATGTCTAAACAGAATATATTTAAAAACTAGATGGACCTTCGACTGAGCGCATTCTAAAAGGATGCCTCCCCATGAAGTAGCTTTACAAACCAAAACAGAAGCAATTTTTAAAATTCAAGTTTGATTGTAATCCACTAAAAGATTCTCAGAATAATGTGATAACAAGCTATTTTTCATATACATGTTTGAAGGGGTTTGACCCTTCGATCTTTGACCTCATGAACCTAAAATCTAATCACTTCATTGGCTCTGCAAGATACATGTTTTGAGTTAGTAATCTATCCGTTGATTTTATTGATAATACGTTCACAAGCTATTTTCGCATACATAATGAGCCCCATATTCTTAGACATTTCACCTCATGACCCCAAAATCTTATCAGTTCATTGGCTCTGCAAGATGCATACATGACCCAAATTTGGCTGGAATCCATCGATGGATTCTTGAGATAACGTGATCACTAGCTTTTTTGCCTACATATTGAGCCTTGTTACCTTTGACATTTGACCTCGTGACCCCAAAATCTAATCAGTTCATCGGTTCTGCAAGATGCATACATGACCCAAGTTTGGCGGAGATCCATCAATGGGTTCTTTAGATAACGCGATCACAAGCTATTTTTGCATACATAATCAGCTATGTGACCTTTGACCTTGGATCTCGTGACCCCAAAATCTAATCAGTTCATCGGTTCTGCAAGATGCATACATGACCCAAGTTTGGCAGGAATCCATCAATTGGTTCTTGATATAACGCGATCACGAGAACGGGACGGATGGACGGACAACCCGAAAACATAATGCCTCCGGCTACTTTGTAGCGGAGGCATTAAAATCACCTTACCATGTACGGTACATAACAAGAACATAACATCACATGAGCCTGTAGAGGGTGCTGTGTAACTGAATACAATGCAATTCAAACAATGTCTGAAACTACTAATACAATTGACGTAGGCTAGATATTAATAATATGGATATTATTTAATAACAACAATAATAAAAATATATGAGATTTGTAAGGCGTCAAAATTCACTTGAAATCAAATGCTTAAAGGGCAATTCAACCCATGTAATAAGTTGATGAGTATGAAAGCAGAAAAATGCCAGGAACAGAATGGCAAAGTTTGAAATGAATGTTTGAAATATGAGTCTTTGCGAATCTCAAATTGGTAGTTTGGTCAGTGGATGGTGACGTAGCACGTGGATAACTCTCCCATTTGCTGTGTACAAAAATATCACTTATTTCTGTTTTTCTCGTAAGTTCCTTTTCCTTGGGGCAGTAATCAAAATATATTATAGATAGCATATTATTATAGGTCCTCTAAAAAGAGTAGACCCTCCTGAGTCATTATTTAAAAAAATAAATATAATTTAGTCATTTTATATGTTGGAACAGATGGGAAAGTAGTCTGGCACGACATCCCATTGACATTACCGCTTTAGCCAATTTGAAGTGCCCATGCGTATAGTGATTACAACTTTCAAAAATTCATAACTTTCTTATAATAAGTCAGATTTAATTGAAACTTTCATCCGTTTGCTTTCTCATTAGAGTAGTTGTCTATTTGGGGCTGAATTTCCCTTGAAGGGACATGTGAGAAACAAAAATAAAGAAAGAGGTCGCATAGAGCATCTGCATTATAAACGAAGTAACAGAAGTAAGATAGACAAAACCGACAGAACAATTAAATTTATGTCAAATTAAATAGCTATATTTGAAGATTAGCTGTACTGGTAAACACTTCCAACTGATCTGCTATCATGGATCTCCCGAGGAGGAGCGTTCCACATTGAAGGCACTGCATGAGCAAAGGTTCCCCCCCCCCCCCACTGTTGACTTTACTATGCTGCTGTCGAATTTTCTGTTAGTTTCTCTTGGAAATTGCATGGCTTCAGGTCGACAGGCTCAATGATGCTCTTAGAAGAATTCATGGAGGATCTTGACATTAAGCAACCCCTCCTATTCTTCGAGACACCAACAAGCTAGAAAGCTTAAAGTCAGGGCCTCACAACCCATTTTTTCAAGCAGATGTGTAGTCCATGACTATTGGAGGAGCAGGCACCTTTGAATGTTTGAAATAGATCAATGGCGCCATACAAGTGCTGTGGATCATCATATTTTAGTTCTACCAAATGAATTTCCGTGTCCCAATTTTACATGTGTCCATAACCAGATAAGTACCAATTTTTGGCAAGGGGTGCCGCATCCGAGCCGCAAAGGAATACCATGCAGTGAAGTGGTTTGTGATGGCTTCTGTTTACCCTAACAATTTTCATGACTTTCCATGATTAGGGGAAGTTTTCTCCACTTTCCGTGACTTTCTATGGGGACCATGTTAAAGTTTTTTAGTACTATTTTCTTCCTTTACTTATTCACTACGACGATGAAGAAAGCTCTGTCAGTTTTTCCTGGAGTTCGTTCGGTTTGAAGACACCATGCTCGGTGACGATCCCGGTGATGAGGTCAGCGGGGGTCACGTCAAACGCAGGATTCCAGCCTCTGATTCCTGAAGAAGAAAAAAACAAACATTCAATGATGTACAGTGCAACCTAGGGGGTGTTTCACAAAACTTGTCATCAGTGACAAATTACAGTTTTTGTTATAAGCTACTGAAATTCTTGCTTCTGATTGGTTATCAGCAGATTTGTCACTGATTTTTGTCATTAAAAAAAAATGGGTCTCGGGTTACATTGAAACCTGCTTTAGCGACCACCTGTTAATAAGGACCACCTGTTTATGAGGACCACCTGTCTATAAAGACCAGAATTTTTGTTTCCTTTGACACTCGTTTTTTGATAGAAATCTGTAGTTAGAGATGAAGTTGAGTTCTGGTCATGCGATTGCATTGTGAAAGAAACGGTGTGGAATCGACCAGAAAAGGTTGATCATCTAGCATATAAAAATTTGTGTGTATTGCAAGGTTCTGGAATCATCAAAATGATATGAAATTTGGCCAAGTCTTGGTAAAGTTACAAACACTGTACACAGAAAGATGTATATGGGACTACAGAAACACATGGCGTAAAAATCCTACCCGGATTTTTACGATGTTACCTGACATATTTAGAATATGAAGGCATTCGAAGAGCCATGCTTTTCAGGGAACATGTCTTATCTGATGTTCTTCCACACTTGCATAATAAGAATGATTAACGCTCACAAATTATTTTTCACCTCTTCCCAGAACTCAACCTTCTCTTTAAAAGGAACCTGAACAGAAACACCTGCATTTACAGTAAAAACCTGGTTACATTGAACCTGCTACGTTTTATGCTGCGCAAAGATTCAATAAATTTAATTTTGGCCATTACAAGAAGTGGGTTATTGATGCAAACAAATGCTCATGTACCATTACAGCTCATTTTATGTATGTTATTACCAAAGAAGAAAAAAAGCCAGTCAGTCACTCAAAGTGTCTGACAGTGAAGTCTAGCAAGTAAACAGGTTTCCTTGCATAATTTGAATATTAGGACACTGCTAACTTTTAAATTCACAGATAGGACATACACGACATATTCATAATTCCAGCAAAGTTCTACAGAATTTGATGTTGGCTGCAAAAGGGACATAGTATCTTTAAGATACAGAAATCTGAAGCGCACAATTCATTTTGCACAATGTTTTGGGGTTTTTCCCCGGTGATTTACCACCTCCTATCTTTTTGAATGGGCCCTAAGGATATATGCTGGATACTGACCTGGGGGTGTTTCAACTATATCCAAACATATATCAAACTTAACTCTAAAATGGTCTTAAAAATTATGGAGAGCCATTAGTAGCCTCAAAATAAAAAATATTCAAAAGCGAAAATTCGAGTATCTCAGACTTTTTATAAATTCCACATCAAGAACATGAAATCTCCTTGATAATAGAAATTATGAATGATTTAATCAACATTTTATGCCTTTTAACATAACTTTTCCAAATATTTCATAGATACTAACGGCTTTCCATAATAGACCAGTTCACGATTAGCACATTACTGCAATGACCCCGAATATCCACAGATCTTAAAAACATGAACAGGTCCCATTTTGTACATTTTGAAATAATCACTCCTACAGCGATGGAGGTGCTATATAAATAGCCTTTGTTTCCCCTTTTCAAAGAGTTCTTCCACCTGTGTATCATGGAGTGCACTGAATGTGCATGAATGAATAATGTTACATAACTTTCATGAGCACGTATCCAGTATTTTGTCTTCGTGTATTTCAAAATTTGTTCTGCAATGACCTTTATGCTCATGCTCAGACTGCAACCGTGAACTGGCTTATTGTTAAGTTCAACTTAGGATCTTTGTGAAACACCTACCTGGAGCTGCAATCTGCATGCCGTTGATCTTGGTGAGCTCTGATTGGTCCCGCTCTTCAATAACGATCTCATCACCAGAGGTCAAACTAAGGTCACACGAGGTCACGGGGGCAGCGACGTAGAACGGAATGTTGTGATGACGGGCTGCTAGGGCAAGCTGGTAGGTACCGATCTTGTTTGCAGTGTCACCGTTAGCAACCACTCGGTCTGCTCCTACGACAACAGCTGTCAGGAATAAGAGAAATTCTGTGTCTTTATTTGCTGACTGACTGGGGTAAAATATTCCTGCAAAGCACTACATAAATGCAAAGATGTATATGGTGTTTGTACCGCTTGACGGTCACGACCCTAAGTTGACCAGATGCAGAGAGGCGCCCGAGCGGTTGTGACCAATGACTTAAAGCCTGTCTGTACTAGTTTGGACAGGTAGACTAGACCTCCCTGTAAGGTCACTGACAGGTGGTTATCTCATCAAATCAGCTCTCAATTAACATAGGAAAAAGAGAATCAAGGGGGACCAACGGGCACCGATTAGGCATTGTTTGCTATATAGAGGGCGCAAGTACATGTACATGTAGCTACAAGTAGTACAGTGGGGCTTTAAAAGGAAGAATCTGGGAGTTTCCAAACGAAAGCTTCCTCTTATGCTCTATCACTTTGCATCAAGTAACAGTGTTAACTCACCCATAACACCTTTTTTTTAATGATCCGACCACTTCGTAATTTCTAGAAGTGTATTTTCCATTTTATTGGTTTATCTATATTTGCAAGAAACTTTTGTATTCTTTGCCTTTGTATGTTTTTATGAAAGTGGTGAATAAATTCAATTCAATAAGTACCAATGTGAACTCACCTGTAACACCCTATTTGAGCAGAATGAAGCCATGCTGTCTGTAATGAGGGAAGCTGGTATGCGTTCATACACAAGCTCGTAAGCAGTCAAAGAGGTGTTTGACTTGATGTGACAAATGACTTAAGGAATAATCTGGGGTGTTTTCATACCCAGGATTAGGCTATAAGTAACAGTGTAAACTCACCCGTAACACCCTTTTTGAGCATACAGAATGAAGCCATGCTGTCTGTAATGAGAGAAGCTGGTATGCATTCATACACAAGCTCGTAAGCAGTCAGACGCGCTCCCTGGTTGTATGGGCGTGTCTCGGTACAGTAGACATGCTCCAGGTTTCCTTTCTCGTGAAGAGCACGGATGACCCCTGGTAGTGGGAGGGAGAGAAAGATGTAGAGAGCAGGAAAGAGAGAGAGAGAGAGAGGGAGAGAGATTGATATAGTGTGTGAGAGAGAGAGAGAGAGAGAGAAAGACAGAGAGAGACATAGAGAGAGAGAGAGACAGAGAGAGAGAGAGAGAGACAGACAGAGAGAGAGAGAGAGAGAAAGACAGAGAGCAAGAAAAAGAGAAGAGTTAGAGAGAATTCAAACAAGAAATTGGAACACGGAGTACGACCTTATGTATGTGAAGCACAAAGCCCCTCGTGGCTGCAGGCTCTATTTTGAAGCATTTTCTAACAATTTTATGACTAGTAATATTTCATACATATTTTGGGTTGAGATTGAACTTTAACCTGTGCTGATTTTCAAACCTGTTTAAACACGTTTAAACCCTTTAGTATAGTATAAAGTGGCAATTAAGTTTTAAGCTAGGTTAAAAGTTAGGGTAAAGATTAGTCACACTTACTTACCTAAAGCTGTACCATAGCCTGCTGTGGCAAGGGAACCTGTGTTACAGTGTGTCATGACAACCTGTCCACCCCCGCTTGAAATCATCTAATGGTTTGCCCCATGCATTCCTATGCTCTTATTGGTCCTTACATCCATCTCCATCATGTTCTCTGCCTCTTCTATTATTCTGGGAGGGGGAGGGGGAAAGAAAGGCAAAGGTGAAGGAGGGATGAAAATTCAGTTTTATTGCTGCATGAAAACTACATGTAACTTCAGTCTCACATTCTAAATCATCAATGCACATGAAATTTAGGTGAAATATTTATCAAAACATTCATGCTTGACAGGGAAATATATCAAAATCACCACCTTTCTCTCATTTTTGTGCTTTTAATGAAATCAGCTTTGTAAAGGGTGTATTATTGTGCAACAATTGCCAACCAAATTGATGAAAAGATCTCTAATAATAATATTGAATATTTAGGAGCGCTAAAAACAATAAGTACCATAGCGCTTACAAATACAAATATATGAAAAGAGGACAAAAATGTACAGTACAGGAAGTATATCACATAGATCATTGGGGAAAAGGGTGAATTTTTGGGGATCTTTTGAAGATGGCAAGACAGGTAAAAGGGATGCTGTTCCAAGTCTTTAATGCAGCTACTGCAAAGCGTTTTTTCAGCTGCTGAGAGTCTAGATTTGGGAATGTTAAGTTTACACGTGTCGGTTGCTGAACAAAGATTACGAGTTAGTGTATATATTTGGAGGGTGTCGTTAAGATATTCAGGTGCCAAATGATTAAGTATTTTAAAAGCATACAAACAGAATTCAAACAGAACACGTTGGTGGAGAGGTAACCAGTGGAGCTCCTTAAGTAAAGGTGAAGTATGAGTTCTTGACCCAAGGCCAAAGATTAATCTGGCGGCACGATTCTGGACAGTTTCATGTTTCCTTCTATCTTTAGCAGATAAAACAGTATAATGACTATTACAATAGTCCAGCCTAGAAAGAATTACAGCTCGGACAGCATGGTGACATGTCTTTAAATCAATGAATCTACGAATCCTCCATAAATTGCGGAGACGATAATTACAATTACGGACTACGTGGTTTACATGAGAGGTCAATTTGAACATAGTATCGATGCATACACCAAGATCTGTAATTTTAGGGGAGAGAGGAATGAATTGACCATTTACTTTAAGCTATACATCTGATATGTATTGCAGATGGCGAGAAGAAGAACAAAAGGCCATGAATTCAGTTTTGTTATTATTCAGTTGGAGATGGTTCGACGACATCCAAGTGCTAATCTCTGCAATACACAGTGAGATTTGGTGAAGTGTTTCGTTACTGTTTTCCATATAAAAGACAAGGTGTTTAATTGTCTTTCATTGACTGTTTCGTTAAGTCAGGATCATTGCTTAGCTCCTCAGCAAGACTGGTGAACACTTTTCTCATCCACTAAACCATTCAGATTTTTAACAAACTCAGATAAGAAGAGGTATTTACCTGTCTTTCATTGACTCTGTCGTTAAGTCAGGATCATTGCCTAGCTCCTCAGCAAGACTGGTGAACACTTTTACAGCCTCTGACATATTGAGATCTTTTACAAACTCAGATAAGAAGGGGTATTTACCTGTCTTTCATTGACTCTGTCGTTAAGTCAGGATCATTGCCTAGCTCCTCTGCAAGACTGGTGAACCTTTTTACAGCCTCTGACATATTGACTGCCGTAGGCCTGGCTGTGTTGAGGTGTCTGAACTGCTTGGAAATAAAGGCCACCAGGTCAGATTTGTTCTCAAACGTCATGTGAGTAAGCTCCACAGCTACACACAGAGAACCTACAATGGCAATAGCTGGGGCTCCCCTCACCTATTAACACACAAAGAAACATTGATTGAAATGATTGTATTGGTTTATTATTCATTAAAAAAAAATTACATGCAGCGCAAGGCTGATGATAATGTATGTTTCATAAACTAATCAGATGTTAAAGGTATAGACCAGTTTTGGAAACGCCCCCTCTCAAAAAAATGAAATGGAAGCTCTTATTACCAATCATGTGAAATAATATGTTTTTACTAATACGTGATGATACAAATTTTGTTGGGAAACCGCCTATGAATTCATTTTCATTTCATTTATTTAATTTTCCACTTCTCAAAAAAAAAATATATACCGTAACAATTTACATACAATATCTGATTAAATACAACAAAACAAAACAATTGATATATTTGGTAAATTGTTATATCTATCTGGACTGGATAGATATTGTGTAGTCCCATATACATCTTTCTGTGTACAGTGTTTGCAACTTTACCAAGACTGGGCCCTTTTTCTTATCATTTTGATGATTCCAGAACCTTGCAGTACAAACCAATACTTATATGCTAGATGATCAACCTTTTCTGATCAATTCCCCAACGTTTCTTTCACAATGCAATCGCATGACCAGAACTGGTCTACACCTTTAACATCATAATACAAACTTCAAAATACAAAAGCAATATAACAAAATAACAATGGTAACATGACATAACAATATGAGAGATTTAATGTGAATAATTAAGGCAATGTCATTAAATTATCAAAGATAAATACAATTGAGCATCTTCAGGAATATTAAGCTTATTTTAGACCAACAATTTTAGTTGGGTAAGAGAGGGAATAATTACACAGATGTAGCACATAAAATTGGAGAACCATCACAGATTTTTGGATGATGAAAACAAGAATTAAAGGAATTGAAAACAAAATTAGTTTGTTGTTACCAATTATTTTGAACATCTAAAAACCCACTTTTAGAACTCCTGGGGAGTGTTTTCACAAAGACTAAGATCGACTTTGAGTTGAACTTAAATATGGCAGACCTTTCATGCCACTGTTTGCTCTCACCATTTACATGTACTGGCATTGGTGTCTCAAGGGACATACAAATCGTGGTCACAAATCTACAGAATTTTCTTTCTTTGATGGATCATTATTAAAGGAAAAATCTAAACATCATAATTGAGAGATCAATGGTGAGAGCCAAAACGGCATGTCACTGGAGCACCTCTTGGGGGTGGTCCACGAGAGATAGCACGGTCTAGCGCGCGCTAGAACGCGCTATCTCTGCCGGTGTGAACCCGAGCTACGATAGCACGCCGGAAGTCATCGTTCTACACGCGGGGAATTTTATACTCATTCTATTTTGGTGCGATCTGAATCTGAATCGGTACAACCCAACAATCCTAGTTCGTAATAGCGCGCAAAATCTTTGAAGGCTCTGACCTCATGACGTCACGGCAACAGGACCTCTCAAAGAGAGGGGGTGCTACGATAGACCGCGATCTCACTGCGGTGTGGATCCGGCGAATGCCAATGGGCGGACCGTGGATCGCACTAGGAAAGCGCGATCCACGGTCCACCCACCGTCCCCCCTTGCGGTGTGAACACGCCCCTTGACGCCTTTGGTACATGTATATCTATTCTATGATAAACACAACATGGCACAGGGAGATTACTTGTGTGGCATATACACTAGGCCTGTTTTCATCAGCTCAAGATTGCCAAATAACCCACTATTTCTGATTTAATCTCAAAGTTACAAATCGCGTCCTCATCAGCTAAAGACTTGACCTCGTAACTTGAAACTCAAACTCGAAAAATTAGCTCGAGATATTTTGCTCAGAGTTGGTGCATATTGCGAGTCTTCGGGCTGGTGAAAACGCACCGGACAAATAGTGGGATATTCTGCAAACTAACTTAAGATATCTTGGGATGATTATATCAACCAAATATACGACTAATTGCAATTTCGGGCTGATGGAGACGCAAATTAACTGGATAATTGGCGATCGGGCTAGTTCAAATAGAGGGATATTTGGCAATCTCGAGCCGATGAAAACAGGCCTAATGTGAACTGATGATAAGCCTACATGTATACCTTCATATCCTTGATGGCATAAAAGCCATCGTCTGCAGACTTCAACTCTTTATAAACGGACTCAAGAGGGAGGAGTTTTTGGTTGAGGATCTCCAGAGACCCTCTCTTGTAGCGGATGGCCTTTAGCGTCATTGTGATTGCGCTTCCAGTCCTGACTCTTTTTTCAGCTGGTTCAGTAAACTTGCACTCGTTCATCTTGGTAACGTCCTGGGGGTAAAATAGACAAGAACACAAGTAACATTCAGTGATGAGAAGTGGCAAAGGCTTTTGATAAAGGATCTTCAGAGACGGTCTCTTGTAGCAGATGGCCTTAATCCTTGTCCATCTTGGTAACGTCCTGGGGGTAAAATAGACAAGAACACAAGTAACATTCAGTGATGAGTAGTGGCAAAGGCTTTTGATCAAGGATCTTCACAGACCCTCTCTTGTAGCGGATGGCCTTAATCCTTGTCCATCTTGGTAACGTCCTGGGGGTAAAATAGACAAGAACACAAGTAACATTCAGTGATGAGTAGTGGCAAAGGCTTTTGATCAAGGATCTTCAGAGACCCTCTCTTGTAGCGGATGGCCTTAATCCTTGTCCATCTTGGTAACGTCCTGGGGGTAAAATAGACAAGAACACAAGTAACATTCAGTGATGAGTAGTGGCAAAGGCTTTTGATCAAGGATCTTCAGAGACCCTCTCTTGTAGCGGATGGCCTTAATCCTTGTCCATCTTGGTAACGTCCTGGGGGTAAAATAGACAAGAACACAAGTAACATTCAGTGATGAGTAGTGGCAAAGGCTTTTGATCAAGGATCTTCAGAGACCCTCTCTTGTAGCGGATGGCCTTAATCCTTGTCCATCTTGGTAACGTCCTGGGGGTAAAATAGACAAGAACACAAGTAACATTCAGTGATGAGTAGTGGCAAAGGCTTTTGATCAAGGATCTTCAGAGACCCTCTCTTGTAGCGGATGGCCTTTAATCCTTGTCCATCTTGGTAACGTCCTGGGGGTAAAATAGACAAGAACACAAGTAACATTCAGTGATGAGTAGTGGCAAAGGCTTTTGATCAAGGATCTTCAGAGACCCTCTCTTGTAGCGGATGGCCTTAATCCTTGTCCATCTTGGTAACGTCCTGGGGGTAAAATAGACAAGAACACAAGTAACATTCAGTGATAAGTAATGGCAAAGGCTTTTGATAAAGGATCTTCAGAGACCCTCTCTTGTAGCGGATGGCCTTTAGCGTCGTTGGAATTTAACCTTTTCATTTTTTAGGCCTGCAAATGGGACATAGTACCTTTAAAAGCCGTTATGTGTAGGTATGTTACAAAAAATTCTTTTCATCACCTATATTAATGACCTGCCGGACAACTTGAAGGGGCATGCAGAAATGTTTGCAGACGACACCAAGGTGTACACCCATATTAAGACACAAGAAGACAGGAAAACCATGCAACAAGACCTAGACAGCTTATGTGACTGGGCAGAGAAATGGCAGTTAAAGTTCAATGTTGGTAAATGCGGTGTAATGCATTATGGGAATCAAATAAAACCAGACCATACAGTATGAGAGTTGGGACAACGAGGACTAACATGGAAGTAAGGAAGGAAGAGAAGGATCTTGGTGTCACATTCGACCCATCACTGAAGTTCAGCAGGTGTGTCGGGAAGGTTGCCTACAAAGCAAACAGGATAGTGGGTCTAATAAGGAGGACATGTGCACATATGGATGAAGATATGTTTTGTCTACTGCACAAAACATTAGTCAGACCCAAGCCTTTTCTTAAGTTAAAGCAGACCAGGAGCCAAATATCTGAAAAACGGCTCCAGGTCCTTAATTTTTTTAGAGAACCTGGAGACGTTTTTCAGGACCAGGAGCCGTTTCCAAAATTGATGAAAATATGTATTCTTTTAAATTATTTGTTAACCGTTACCTTTTATTTATACATACATGTAGGGTAGTTTAATTTCTAGTTTAAATTTTGAGCACTCTAATATATTAAATCACTCATACCTTGGATAAATCTGTCATTTGTAGTTGTTTTAGTTCATGTTTAAAACTATTTTCATGCTGTTAAATGTCAAAAATTGAAAAATGTTAGGAAGGGGGGAATTAAATTATTTTTATAAAAAAAATATTCAAGAAACACCATCTGTAACGACAATGCAGAGCTGCCAACCTGTTACTTAAAGGTATTACAAAGTTTTGGGAAATTTTGAAAAATGGGTGGACAGTGATTCTTTACAATTTTGATATATTTGGATGCCCCTGTGGATGTATCAAAAGCACTAGAAATTTTAGGCCCTAAAACGCTTCTGCTTTCGAGAAAAATTGAATATAAAGATTTACCGGTACTCCCGGTAAATTTTGAATTTTTTTCAAATAGCTCCTACGGCCGTACAATGGTAGCTGCGACCATGAAAATCTCAGAATACGTAGTTGTGGTATATAATTTCCGAACGGGAATAGCTAATCGGTCGATTTTAGTCAAGAAACATTGTTTTACAGCTTAATTAATATCTTGACCTTGAGAGGGAGCTATACAACATAAAAGGTTTATTATTTACAATTTCATAACTTTAAAGTCGATTTCGACCGCGACAACGATCAGTGAATATTGTAGGATCGCATATGCTTCCAATATGTTCATTTGAACCAAATTCATGACCCCATACCAAAACTTTGTATTACCTTTAAAAAAAAAACATATTATTCAGCTTGAAAAAGCATACTTTAGGTGAAAAAACAGATTTTGCCTGTTTTACGTTTTTGTTATTTTCCCTATAAAATGCTATTGCAATCATGTTTCTGTGAATAAAAACGCATTCAATCATTGAGAGCGGCCGACCTGTTACTTTAAAGGGGCACGTTCCCGCCAGTGTAGTTATCGCTGCTCTAGTCATTGCCATCTTGGTTCCGAAGATCGACTTCTAATTTGCATACAGCTGTCAATCAAAGTATGCGCGGCCTGGCCTGCCTTCACCAAGCCAGCTGATCGCTGCCGATCGTGACGTCTTGAAAGTGGGTGGAAACAGCAGCCGAATCTTATAGCCGAACTGCGATTGGTATTACTTCGGCACATGTACATGTATGCAATAATCGGCGTTGTGCGGGCATTCGGAACATGCAATCTGCGTAAGAGCCGTATTCTGTTGGTGTCAATAGGCAGCAAGCACCGTCCGCCAGCGGGTACGTATTTTGAACGCCCTCTGGAATACGGGGAACATGCCCCTTTAAACAAAACAACAACAAAAAAAAACAAAAAACAAACAAAATGATTTGTTAAATATATTCACCTATTAATTATTTTATCGGAAAAATCCATTATTTAAAACATCACAGAATTTTAGTCAATGAGTACGAGGGCCGCTGAATTGCGGCTCAAGTTGCAATCAACTTTGTACATACTATGTTACACCCGATACGAGCTGCGACATTAAAGTCATTGACCAGTTTTGGAAAAATGATGCAATATATATTGACCCGTTTTTGTATCACATCCAACATGTGTTTGATTTGCGTCCAGTAGTCATTAACGCTATTTTAAGACCTACTTTTTGTGGTTAGACTCATTAACCAGGCGACAGCGCCCAGCAACATTTTTTTCTACAAACGACTGTAGCGCCAGGTTACCCGGCCATACATCCAGGGGCAGATCAAAGACTTTACAGGGGAGGGGGGGGGGGGGGGGGGGGGGGGAAGGAAAGCTTGAAATAAACGAAATTGCGAGAATGAAGCCTTCAACTGGATGCGGTCCCCGGATAATCTTAGCCTTTTGGCAGATTCTGAGGCCTATCCAAATGCTTAAACAGAATATGTATGCGAACACATTTTTTTCGGGAGAAAAAAAAAGGGGGGGGGGGGCGTGCGCCTCCCAGTACCAGGCATCCACTGGATCTGGGCAGCGTTTCATGAGACCGTCATAACTACAAGTTCACCGACATCCCATTGAAACGTGTGTTAAACTTAATACACACATTTCAATGGGATGTCGTTGGACTTGTACTTATGACGGTTTCATGAAACGCTGCCCAGATCCCCGACACCGAACACCTGGGGAGGTTTCACGAAACCGTCATTAAGTCTAACTTTTTAGACATCGTATTGAAACGTGTGATAGAGATCTAACACGTGTTTCTACCAAATCTCCACGAGCTTAGACTTATGGCAGTTTCGAGAAACTAGCACTCGCTCTGAATCTGGCGCATCCACGGCCACGCTGGAAGCTCGGATCTGACCGCCTGCGATGCATGCCCCGGACGCGACGGCAGCCCGCTCTCGAGCTAACTCTCCATCGCATCGTGCAGCTGTCTTTCTTCTCTTTCACGAACACGGTTGCCCGACTGAAACAACTAGACCACATTAGTATCCTGACATCAAGATCTCTATTATGTGCCCATCCGTCTGATTAAGGTAGGTTCTACAGTAACACCGTATTTTATTCTTTTTTTTAAATAAATCTAACTTGCACATTCAAATGGAAATAATAGCCCTACCAGGTGCGCCGGGCCCGCCGCTCCCGCCCGGCAGGATACCTAGACTGGTGGACATCACGAGCCATGTCCCTGGTTTTGCCCACACATAGCTGCATTACTATCCTGGCTGTGCAGCTGTGTATTAAAAACTGTTCATATTGATTTTCAGCATTTCAAACTACACTGTACAAAACTCAACTGATTTCACTCAAAATCGGTACTTTAGTGATAGTTGATGCCCGCCCCCCCCCCCACTCAGTGTTATTTAGGGTATGCATATGCGTGTTCCCCCCCCCCCTTTGCAGCAAAAGTCCTGTGTGTAAAGTCCCTGGCCCCCCCCCCCCCCCACTCAGTGTTATTTAGGGTACGCATATGCTCGTTCCCTCTTTTTGAAAGCACCCCCTATCTGAGGACTGCCAACATTTTCGAACCCCCCTTTCGCGGGCTTTTCACAGGCTTTTCCTGCCTTGGAGACCCCCCTAAATCAGGAAAAATGCTCAATGCACCCCCCTAAATTCAGAATAATTTCTCAGGAGTCAAAAGAGATGAGAGAAAAAAAGAAAAAACACCCCCTTTTTAAAGAAATCTCCGGGTGAAAAGTCAAATACACCCCTTTTTTTACAATTCTCGGGCCGGACTTTGTCGCACGAAAAGTACCCCTTTACCGGACATTTTGGTAACACGCATGCGGTCATTCCGACCCCTGCGTGGGGGGGCCGGGGTAAAGTCAATACGGGTCGACCTTTTTCTTTTGTTATACAAGCCTTTTTCAGCAAAAGTCCGGTGTGTAAAGTCAATACGGGTCGACCTTTTTCTTTTGTTACGAAAAGGACATTTTGGTAACACGCATGGGGTCCATCCGTTCTCGGAGTGGGGGGGGGGGGGGGGGGCCCGGGAGTTGATGACACCTAAATAGCATACAATTTTTTCAACTTAGGTCTATGTTATA